GACCGTCACCCACCCTCCCTGGAGACTAGCCTAACAGCCTTTATTGGAAAAACTTCCTAATATGAGCCAGAGAGGGCCGTGATACACCAAAGTGTGTCAAGGGGAAAGTAAGGAAACAAGCAAGGGGGAGGGGGCAGGTGCTTAAGTCCTGAGTTATATAGTGACAGTGCATGCGGAGAAGAAGGAGGAAAAACAAACAAACAAATAAACAAACAAACAAAAAAAAAAAGGGGAGAAACAGGCAGTGTAGCTGATGTATTGTGGCCTTGAGGTGGTTGTGCTCCATGCAGATTATCAAAAATAAACATATACATGTCTACTATACTGTACTGAAAAACAAAAACAAAAGAGAAGTCTATACTGAACACCAAAAATGTGAGAGTCTTGGTGGAGGGGGAAAGCCCGATTGCAGAGAAGAGTTGCCAGCGCGGTGTGGTAGGTTTGAGAAGCAAGTGGGCCCCTTTGGAGTGAGTGGAGGGCTTGACTTCTAGTACTTTGCATTATTACTGTTGTAGGCTAACATTCAATGAGATTTATTTAGTTTGGGAATAGAATCAGCAATCCGGGATTAGCTACTTCTCTCTGTTTATGGATTATGGATTAATGACCAAGAGTTGGGAGAGTGTCAGTGACATCAAATTCCTGGAAATCCACATAGCAAAAGATCTTTCATTGGTCCCCTAACACTTCCCACCTGATGAAAAAGGCTCCACAGAGGCTTTTCTTCCTGAAAAACTCAAACAGGCCAAACTTTCCTCTAAGCTCCTAATAAACTTTTACAGGAGCACCATAGAGAGTATCCTTTGCTACTGTGCCACAGTGTGGTATGCCAGCTGCACTCAGAGAACCAGAAGGACTTGGTCTGGGTGGTAAAACAGCACAAAAGATTGTGGGAACTGTGCTCCCAAACTTTGACACAGTGTATGCTAGAGCTGTCTACACAAGAAGGACAAGAACCCAACCCACCCAGGTCACAGTCTGTTTGTCCCCAAACCATTGGGGAAGTGCTACAGAACCATCCAAGCCTGAAGACACATACTGAAAAACAGTTTTTTTTCCCTGGAGCTGCAGCTTCCATCACCCCCACCCTTCCATAGATGTTGAGGACAAAAGACTGTAAAGCCTCATTTCCACCAAGCAGTCTGGTTTAGTTCAGTTCAGTTTATTAGAACGGTAATTTTTTGCATTTCCATTGTCAAAAATTGTGGATGGTACTAACAGAACTCCATTCCGTCTGATTTTTTCGTTACCCCTCTGTTGAAGTACCTAGCACACTGATGCGATACCAAAAAGTGGAGCTAGAGACACAACAGTCCATTGATTAGTCATGAAAGAATCCATGTTCTTGATCAATGAGGGCTCAACGCACAAACCTGCTTTTTTAAATATCCCATTCATTGCAACAGAGACTCTATAAACTTCAGCCTGTTCTATGTTTATCCAAAAGTGTCATCATGCAACCTGGTTTCATGGATGGTCTACGGGTTGCAGATATTCCTCTGCATTACTTGGGAGAACTGGATGGAGCAGTGATGTGGCTATTACCATACTGCTTACATACAAGCGGTGGAAATGCAAAACAGATCTAGGGTTTAGGTACATATACCTACTGTTTGAGCACAAATTCTTAGAGTACTATACATAAAGTTTTTGGAAATGTGGCTTAATTATTACCACCCACCCCTCAACTGCTGCTAATGCACTCCAGCACTATTTCATGTACATCTAAGCTGCTTGTTGTGCATACCTTTTTAATATTTTGTATCTCTTATTATTTTGTTTCTACCTGATTATTATCTTGTTCTCTGTTGGTGCTGGTCATTGAAAGTTATCAAGCATATTTTTTCTTGTATGCCTACAATGGTAGGCTTCTGTATGCAACATTCAGAGCACTAATATGGCAGCAAACCCCTGGTTGCTATGTAAACGGTATAGTCATGACGCCCTAAGCAGAGAATGAAGTCACGCTGTCTATGTGTGCACTGTAATCTGAGCCTCTCTGTGGTTTGTTGTGGTAAACCAATCCGGCTGTTCGTGCATGTTAGTGCATGTGTATCCCACTAGCTAGCTCATTGGCGCTGCTTTGCACTCCCTTAGATGGTGGAACCCCCTGGTTGCTATTGTTTAGCACTATTAATGGAGTTAGCACTGTTAATTACTATCTGCTTACTCAGCCACTTACATATTGGGAACTGTGTGCAGACAACTTACATGCTCTGTATATTGCATAGAGCCCCTTTAAAGTGTCTTATGACAACAGGCACATAGAAAATGTCAGTGACAGGAGTTTGTAGCACTCCTGGAAGTTCATGCTATTTCCCCACATTAAGGGTGTGCCATATCATCTTGTTCACAATAATACTGGTTTAATTTTTAATATCACATGAAAAATTCATATCGTGATACTAGCATGGCTGAAAGTGAAATTATTACGGACTCTGTGGTGGTTCCAAAAACAGGAGCAGCCTCAGTAGCGTGGAATAAACACGTAATGTAAACCTATGTGATGCTCCAAAAAACAACATATATGTGAATGTGCAATAGTTATGGCAACATAACAGCCTGTCACAGGTTACAGTGTGATGATTAGAGGAGAAATGGCAGAGCATGAAGGTCAAGGTGGGAAAAAAACATTCAGTCATTTAGGATTTTGCTGAAAGAGAAGGAAATCACCCGTTGATTTATATATACATATATATATATATATATGTATACAGTACAGGCCAAAAGTTTGGACACACCTTCTCATTCAATGCGTTTTCTTTATTTTCAAGACTATTTACATTGTAGATTCTCACTGAAGGCATCAAAACTATGAATGAACACATGTGGAGTTATGTACTTAACAAAAAAAGGTGAAATAACTGAAAACATGTTTTATATTCTAGTTTCTTCAAAATAGCCACCCTTTGCTCTGATTACTGCTTTGCACACTCTTGGCATTCTCTCGATGAGCTTCAAGAGGTAGTCACCTGAAATGGTTTTCCAACAGTCTTGAAGGAGTTCCCAGAGGTGTTTAGCACTTGTTGGCCCCTTTGCCTTCACTCTGCGGTCCAGTTCCCCCAAACCATCTCGATTGGGTTCAGGTCCGGTGACTGTGGAGGCCAGGTCATCTGCCGCAGCACTCCATCACTCTCCTTCTTGGTCAAATAGCCCTTACACAGCCTGGAGGTGTGTTTGGGGTCATTGTCCTGTTGAAAAATAAATGATCGTCCAACTAAATGCAAACCGGATGGGATGGCATGTAGCTGCAGGATGCTGTGGTAGCCATGCTGGTTCAGTGTGCCTTCAATTTTGAATAAATCCCCAACAGTGTCACCAGCAAAACACCCCCACACCATCACACCTCCTCCTCCATGCTTCACAGTGGGAACCAGGCATGTGGAATCCATCCGTTCACCTTTTCTGCGTCTCACAAAGACACGGCGGTTGGAACCAAAGATCTCAAATTTGGACTCATCAGACCAAAGCACAGATTTCCACTGGTCTAATGTCCATTCCTTGTGTTTCTTGGTCCAAACAAATCTCTTCTGCTTGTTGCCTCTCCTTAGCAGTGGTTTCCTAGCAGCTATTTGACCATGAAGGCCTGATTCGCGCAGTCTCCTCTTAACAGTTGTTCTAGAGATGGGTCTGCTGCTAGAACTCTGTGTGGCATTCATCTGGTCTCTGATCTGAGCTGCTGTTAACTTGCGATTTCTGAGGCTGGTGACTCGGATGAACTTATCCTCAGAAGCAGAGGTGACTCTTGGTCTTCCTTTCCTGGGTCGGTCCTCATGTGTGCCAGTTTCGTTGTAGCGCTTGATGGTTTTTGCGACTCCACATGGGGACACATTTAAAGTTTTTGCAATTTTCCGGACTGACTGACCTTCATTTCTTAAAGTAATGATGGCCACTCGTTTTTCTTTAGTTAGCTGATTGGTTCTTGCCATAATATGAATTTTAACAGTTGTCCAATAGGGCTGTCGGCTGTGTATTAATCTGACTTCTGCACAACACAACTGATGGTCCCAACCCCATTGATAAAGCAAGAAATTCCACTAATTAACCCTGATAAGGCACACCTGTGAAGTGGAAACCATTTCAGGTGACTACCTCTTGAAGCTCATAGAGAGAATGCCAAGAGTGTGCAAAGCAGTAATCAGAGCAAAGGGTGGCTATTTTGAAGAAACTAGAATATAAAACATGTTTTCAGTTATTTCACCTTTTTTTGTTAAGTACATAACTCCACATGTGTTCATTCATAGTTTTGATGCCTTCAGTGAGAATCTACAATGTAAATAGTCATGAAAATAAAGAAAACGCATTGAATGAGAAGGTGTGTCCAAACTTTTGGCCTGTACTGTATATATATAGATCCCAGGGTAATTGTTTTGTATAGGAGCTGTTTTAATGTGTAATTTGTGGTAGATTTTATTTTGTTGAACTATTAATATTGTATACAGAATCGGAATCTCACTGAGTTATACTGCTGTTATTTACAAACTAAAGAAATGAGATATAATTTTTGTTTAGTTTTTACTAAATAGTTGATGGCAAACTGTTGACATGTAAAACTATATCACTTATTTTGTTGCAGTTCCATTTTCATAAATTAATAATCCATTTTTCATGTCTTCATACTGTCAAAAAATATGATTATTGCAAAAATACCCTGAAATATTGTGATATTATTTTATCACTGTATCGCCTAGCCCTACCCCACATTCCACCCCACTTTAAGCAGGTAGAAGGTGTTATTGGAATGAGAACAGAATCCCTTTTGACATTTTAAAGTAAGTAATTTCAATTGAGTTGACATTTCGCCAATTTGGCATGAATGCTGTAGTAATGCAAAGTCTTTTACCAAATTTTTACTCTGTATTTTATAGAACACATGTATGCTTTCTGCTGTGGGAACACACATTGAATGCAAATCATAACATGGCAGATGTGAACAGGAAGAAATCCCAGACATGCTCTGGCAATAATTCTGTCAGAATTTTTTTTAAGTAGAGCATTTATAGTCCGAAGGGTCCATTTGACTTTATTCTTTTCTTACCAGCTAGACAAGAATTTCTTTCGCAGGGACACTAAATCTGATTAAGATAGTTCAGGGGCCAATAAATAAGGTAATCCATTCCACACTCATACCCGCACACACACACACTCACACACAAACATACACACACATGCCACTGCCATCTGAGACATTCACCTCAGCACAGCACATCCCAACAGGGTAGCAGCAACATACAGGAACAGGGATTAGCTGACGAAGGTCCAAATAGAACATCTCTTGAGTTCATTGTCCCTCCAATAGTTCCAACAACAGTACATTTTTGTTGCTGCAAACAAACAGTCTACATATGAGTATAAAAAGCTTCAGTATTGGTTGTCCATGTCTTCCTTTCATATTTTCATATACTTTGAAAGTTATGTCCCTTTTTATTAAAAAAACAAAGTGTCAGTTGATGCAGGAGGTCATGAGATTGCAACAACAAAGCTTGCAACTGCACCAAAGTACCTCATCTGGCAGGAGTTCATGCATGGCAAAAGGACCACAGGAACACTGTTTTAACATTGCAGCTCAGTTTTTCTGTGCTCGTGCAGGATGGAGAGGACAAGAGAAATGTAGATTTGAACTACCATCCGCATCTCCCTGTTGTTCTCCCTTTTCGTTAAGACCCCTTACAACCCCCCCCCCGTCAGTACTCCCTGGCCTCTTTAAGTTCCACCTGAAACACTTGTTCTGGGGGGTTATCAGAACAGTCCAGCCCATTGTTGGGTGGCCTTACTGAGTGAAACCGACTCCAGTCACCCTTGCACAGGATCCAGGGCAGTACATCCACCTTGTAATGCAGCTCTGGTGAGAACTCAGTACTGATCAAATTTGGCGCCCCTGCTCCTTTCCCTCGTGTTATCAGTCTCATCTGATCGTCGTAGCAGCAGTGCTGCGCTGCCAGCGTTGTGCTGTCATATGACAGCATCGAGCGGATGCAGAATCTGGCCGAAGGTTTGTAGATGTCCAGGCGTTCTTTGGGTCCGCTCGCGTCCCTCCATCGATAGGTCTTGCGAAGTTTGCCGTCCTGGATGTTGACGGCGCTGTAAACGGCCTCAGAGGGGTAGAAGCATGGGCAGCTGGGAAGCTCTGTGAGCACCTGGTGCAGGTACTTCTGGAGGAAGTCATTCTTGCAGCTTAGCCACTTCTCACAGCTGTCCACATCTGGGTTGGGAAAGTTGGAAGATTGGAAAAGTTAGAAGTAATCACAGAAATTCTGAACATTCTTCAATTAGTTTAGAATGGAATAAGTTTTGGTTTATCTTATAGAAACATCTCAAATATAGTACCCAGGTAGCTATGCATTTCTTAAAGATCTGAACTGATAAAGATACATATTTATGCATTCATCATGTGCATCGTGTGCAGCACACAGCATTTCAGTTAAAATGTGACAAAGTGAAAACCAGTCATCACCAACTTGGATGACATAAAAGTAAACCAATAACCCATTTCCCCTGCAGGAACTTTTCTTAGGTTTCAGGAATCAGTTCAGGAAGTCTAATTTGCCGAATCTTCATGGTTCATTTATGCAGTGGAAACACAAACAAGAATACAAGTCTATTTAAAAGTTGCAGATGGATGTGAGATAAAATGAATGCCATAACTTCATTTATGTTGTCAGAGACACTTTTGTTTGGGGAATGGAAAATATTGAAATAGTGAGGTTGTACACTTAAAGGGCGGGAAACAGAAACCATGCACTAGCCTGAGAAACACACAAATCTGTGAGCTCATGTTTTATTTGCTCTGGCAGATACATCTGGTCCCTCCCTTGTTCTGACAAATTTTCACCTGACCTGGCCTGCTATGACCAATCACAAGCATTTATGTAATATCAGGCAGATTTGATACCGTAACTGACAATTTTCCTTGTGCAGCCTTGTGCCAGGGACAATATGGTGAGCATAAACCTAGCTTAGTAAAGAGACGCACCATTGAGGCATTTTCGAAAACAGCTAAGATGGTTGCAGCTGATGTGACACTTTCTGCTGAAGCACTATTTTCAAAATCTGATGGCAAAAACAGCAACACTTCTCACAGATGCTACACCATCACTACTCATCTCTGTACACTGTGCTCTGTTTATTTTGTCTTTCACTTAGCACTATGTCACATGTTTCATTGCTCTTAACAGTTGTGGGTCTATCAAATGGCTCCCAGGGGCATTTTGGTCTGTGGCCGTTATTAACTCCCTTTGAAAAATTTAAAATAAACTACGAGGTTCCAGACTAAAGGAGGATTTATACTTTCGCATCAGTTCTATGTAGAGCCTACAATGTAGCCCACACACATGGCCTACACTGTTGTGAGCATTTATATTTGTGCGGTGGTGTGTCTGTGTCACTCTGCAGTTACACCTCCAAAACACTAGTCGGCGTTGAGGTTTCTGTGAAGTGCTGTAAAGTTTAGCTGATTCAAAACACTCAAAACACACATTAAACATGGCTTAATGGTGACAATTTCAAACACAAGTACACAAATCGGATTCACGTTAACATGCAGGATTGACAGGCAAAGCACTTTTCTTTTGCTGGACACATGCTAATGTTTTTAGCACAAGCCATGGCATTTTTGGTTGAATAAATGTAGATGCTAGCAGAGATTTCCTCTACACATTTGAAGCCAGGGACAACAGCAACATTTAACAAAGGTAACATTACAAAGTGTGGCTCCATTACAGCTCACGAGGTTCACCAACAAAACAACTGTCTTATCCTAAACATGTTTTTCAAACAAATACAACATGCTAACGATATTAGCACAAGCCTATGGCATTTTACATTGTATAAATTAGCTTAGCAACTAGTGTAGATTTCCTCTACTCATATGAAGCCAGGATAAATCACACGCAGGACTTAAAATGCTATTTTGTGGGGGCTATTGTTATCCATGAAATAACAGTAAATAAAAGCTTTGTTTCCACAGAGGGAAATTTTTTTTCAGCTTACAAAAATAGCTAAGGGAGGGAAGAGAGGGAATAGGGAGGTCTGTGGCACCACAACATATAGTTACATTTCTGGGGAGGTGCACGTCAGGCTACGCCATAAGTTACATCATAGGCTCCATAGGTTTGGTATCGATTTGACGCAGAAATATAAATCCTGCTTATTTCGCTTTTGCGATTTGGTCTGGCAATGCCAGGCCAACAATGCACTAAAGGGACAGAAATAATGAATACATACATTTTGATGAGAATATAAATGTATGTATATTGGAAAAGCACATGTTTCTCTTGGTCTATATCCTACAGGATATTTTTAGCTTTATAAATTTTTAGCTGCTTTAAATTCACTGAATGGAGAAAGAGAGAGACAGAAAGCTCAATAGTCTTGGGAGCCTTTGTCCCGCCCTCATTCTGCATGAAAACAATGGTCACTCTCCTTAATGAAACCAGCTAAAAAGACAGGGAAGGGCTTTATTCGAAATATGTCCCATAAAGGGAGTTCTGTATTTTTCAACCTGGACCCTATTTTCCATGTTTTTGTGTCAAAACGACTAATGGGAACAACAATTTTATTTGATTGGTTCAGTATTGAGCGAGAGGGCTGCAGCCTATCAATGTGGGTGCACTAATTTGCCACTGACAGGCTCAGACTGTTATTGTAAGTGTCTGACAACATTGTGAAAAGGAGCCCTACAGAGAAAGACCTTTTGGTTAAAGAGTAAGATCCTTTTTGTTTAAGTAAAAAGAGCCTAAAAATTGCTATTACCAAACCCACCAGACTCCATTGACTCCATTAAACAGCAAGTTAAGCAGGTATAGAGCCAACATATTTTAACGTCTAACTACCAAACCAAAGATGTTGATTGTGGGGACAGTGGAAAAACAAACCAATATGTTTTTTGTGAGGTTTAATTTGTTTCTGTTAATTTTGAATTTAGTGTGTTTTATGATGATAAAATCACTCTTTATTTAAATGGAGTCTAGTGGGTTTGGTCATAGCGTTTTTGGGGCTGTTTCTGGTTGAGAAAAAGGATCTCACTCTTGAACAAAAAAGTCAGCCTCTGTAGGGATCCTTTCCATAATGTTGTCAGACACTTAGAATAACATTCTGAGCGTGTCAGTGGCAAAAACAAGCACTTTTAGTTGACTTTACTGATGGTGCGAACATGCACAGAGTGCTTCAGTTACATTCTGGTCTTCCTCAATACTGGTCAAATTTCAAAAATTATTGTCTCTATTAATCACTTTGACACAAAAATATGCATAACTAGTGTCCACAGAGCCAACAGGTACTGAGCTTGCCCTCTGAGGGCAGGGAACTGGCAGGAAATGGAGCATGGTGTTAATTCAGCACTGAGGTTGCACTTGCATTAGCTGATTGGCATCCACTACTACATTCATGCTCCACCAGCCACTAGCCTTCCAGCTGACTGGTAACATTCAGTCATATTCGTGCAGCTACAATGTGGCCACGATACACTTCTCACTATCACTCTGCTACTTGGCTCATGCCAAGAGTTATACATTTACAGTCCAAATACACCAAAAAGAAGAGTACCCATTTAAAAAAAGTTATTTGAAACCCACAGTCCAGTTTTAAAACATGAAAGGGTGACTGAGAGAGGGGCTTAGAAGAAAAACAAGAATAAAAAGGTTTTTGGCCTCGGACAAACTAAAAGCTACTCTATGTTTTTGCCTCCTATGGTGGATGTTGAGTTGAGAGGGAAAAAGTTAGACACTGGATCGTGTTCTCTTCTCCTGCTATATCTTTTATTATGTTTGCAGAGTGAAGAGAACTATCATGTTCTCTGGCAGGTGCTTAGCAGCTGGAGAGCAATAAAATGGAAACTAAAAAGTAATTCAAACATTTCTGTAAGGCAGGGTCGGTGTTTCATCGTGTCTTTGACAGTCTCAGCAGAGCATGCTGGGAAGGGAGATTTCTAAATATCAAAACCAGGTACTTCCAGTGTGATTGACTGAGTTTGTTACCCACCACTGAATGGAAGATAATGTTTCATATACAGGCCAGCGCCCACTGGAAACATGTAGTGTAACCTGTTGACTATTGTGTTAATGCATGGGACAGTATACCCAACACACCCACACACTCCATACATACTTGTGTCCAGGGAGTCTGTGCTGTTGGTCGTCTGGATGGGTGTCAGGTCGGTCACTGAAATCACAGTGTCTACATGACAGAGGGTGAGAGAAAGCAACAACTTGTCTTCAGGTGGTTTAATTGTATCTTGTCCAATATGAACACACATACTGGCATTTTATGCACAAATTAACTAATGAAATAGGAATACTAAGAAATACTATGAACCACTGTGTGGATCTGTTTTTTAAGTTTGGCTTCAGTCGCCTGCAACAAACTGGAAAACATTTTTCTGTGTCTCTGATGGAGGGTGGATACACCTGATAGTCAAGAAGAAGGGGAGCTCTAACCTCATTTCTGTCATGTTTCTTTATGAAATGCATTTAATTTTTTTTTTTTTTTTTTTTATGTGTGTGTGTTTATGAGCCTGCATGCATCATATTACGATTTCAGAAACCTGGATAAGCCCTTATTCAGTTTATGAGAAACCCCAATATGCTAGGTGGAGTGCTTGGAAAGAAACCAGGATACTGTTGCATGTATACAACTTATCTGAGTACCCAAGCAGTCATGGCTACAGCCAACTGATTTCACAGGAACATAAGGAATGGTGGCAGAAAAAGCATCTCACTTCTGGAGCAATGAAGTATCTACTTGTGTTTCCCTTCAATTATTTGCACATCATATTCTGTATATCCAGTGGTGTAGTGGAGGGTATACCCAGTTAGGGTATACCCAGTGTTAGTTTCACTGATGGAAACTATGATGAAAATTTTTCGTCAACGACTTTTTTTCCATGACGAAAACGAGATGGCGACGAGCTGAAAATAGAGCTTGATAATAAAAACTAAGACGAAGTCTATGTTTCATTTTCATTGACGAGACCCGACAAACATGTTCTCAATATCCAGCCAACAGCCAACAACAGATTTAATTGTAATTATCTTCAAACAGCGCATGAGCACAAGAGAATGTATCGACTGTCTCCTGGGTAACCCACCTATCTACCTCGTAGTGCACTCACCTCATCAACTACCACTACACCACTGAGGAAGGTGGTTGTCTATTTGTAACTGGTATGTAACTGGCCTCTGTTTTATGCTCCTAAAGCCAGGTACACACTTCACGAGAATCAAGCTCATCTGTGCCCAATTTCTCCTCTGTCGACAATTGTCAGTGAAGCCCTAATTTTCCAATGGCTCTAAAGATTATCTTGTGTGTTGTGATGTCTTTTTTACATCCTGGATCTGCTCACAAGTCCAGCCTGGTTGCACCAATTTCAACTGGCAAATAATAAAAGTGCAATATTTATGTTTTGTTATCCCATTGTGGGGGAATCCCAGAGGACAACTGAGGATAACTGGTGGCCCTGCAGGTCTCAGAGGGTTTTAATGAAATGTAAGCTTGTGCTGTAACATGTACAGTCCATGTTCACACTGTCTGCATGACTTCATATGTATTTCTTATTTTTTCTTCCAGTTCCTGCCTGCTGTCAGCCAAGTTTGTTTACTCTAAAGTCATGCTGGATTGTGAGATATTTCCACGATATCTGGTTTTGAGACACAGGACAGTAATACATCTATCTTGCTCGGGACTCTGGTCGTTGGTGAATGAATATCTATTAAGCCCTGTTTCCGCTAAGCAGTACGGTATGGTTCAGTTCAGTTTGGTACGCATTTTTTCTGTTTCCACTGTGAAAACTTGTGGATGGTGCTGATGGAACCTGTCCTTACCATCCCCATTTTTGAGGATGTTCTCCGGATGATAAACAAGGTGCAGACTTCCATCTGTAGTGGGGTTTCCATCCAACTATTTTTATTCGCATTTTCAAAAATTGCTGAAAAAAAAAACTTGGATGGAAACGCCAGAAATTCGAAAAAAGGCCGAAAATTCACAAAAAAAAATTTACACTTGGAGGGGGTGGATTTGTCAGAGTATCGATAAAAGGAAAATGCGACTTTTTGCTATGGAAACAGGTTTTGCGAATAAATGATGACGTACCGGTACACAGATCCTCAAATGTGGCCCTTGACATACGGAAATGTTTCAGCCAGAGTTCATGAGTGAAATGCTGTTGGACAACTACTTCCCAAAATTCCTTCACACGCCTACGTTCCCATACACACGGAGAACGACATGGTGGTCTCCTTCCAGCTATTTCCAACAGTACTCTTAACATTAAACTTCTTCGTCGTCTCTTCTTCAAGATGGTTAGGTACGCTGTGAACGCTGACAAAATGCTAACCAGAGTTCTCCCAAGAGCCGACAGGTTTATCAGGAATCTGTTCATGATCAGTTGTTGTGTCAGTTGAGCGTGTTGTTGTTTACAGTGGGCATAAGACACTCTCTTATGACGTCATCTCATGGCACACTCTTCTTCTACGGGGGTGTTTTTATTTTGTTCATTTTTCACGAGAAGCGCCACCTACTGCTCTTTCTGTTGACTCCCAATAATCGCAAAACAGTAACGAATGGAAACGGGCATAAATTCGCATTTTCTTAAAATTTTTGGGCGCATTTTCACAAAATTCGCTCAAAAATTTCAGTACATTTGGATGGAAACCCCACTTCTGTCACTGGTGAAGAGGAAATATAGCGAGTGCTGGATGGAGCAGTGAAGGACAACAACCCTGCACACATAAAAGAGTACTGTTTGTGGTGGAAACGCTAAACAGACCTACAGTCTATGTACCATGTCTGAAGGGTTACTTTTGGCTCCGAAGGAACCATACTGAAAGTATTTGGTGGAAACGGGGCTTTAGTGTGTGGTGTTGTGTTCCAAATCGCTGCTCTCCAAACACTATAGGAACAGAAAAGTTAAATTTATCATTACATGTTGTTATGTGTGGGGTCTCTCACATTTTCAACATCTGTTAAGATTTGAGAACATTTTTAGTGTGGGCCAGGATTTAGTCTTTAGTCTTATTTTGGTAGTCTTTAGACTCTAAATTTAATTTATCCCACTTCTTGTCAGATCTGAAAATATCAAAGAGCTGATATTTAGGTGATTGATGATTTTAACTTTTTTATGCTACTTTTGCTGTTAAAATACCAACATAAACTGGTTCATGGGGGTAACACAAATCAGATTTTTACAATCTTCACTTCACATAGTTTCTATGTCTTACCGGCACAGCTCTCCAGGTCACACGTGCGTGACTCAGTCGCCGTGCATGCGTAGCCACAGGAACGGGTGCGTTTCTGGGTGCCGTGTCCACAGCTCACACTGCAGGGAGCCCAGTCGCTCCACTCCTCCTCGTACTCTGAAAAACACAGACAGAAAAGATGGATGAAGGAGAGACAGCACAGAGGGGAGAAAAGCAAAACTATGGAGTCATATATTAAGAGCAGGCTTTGAAGTTAGCCTTGTGAATTCCTCACCCAGCTGGTGTATGTGTGTTATGCAATTAAGGAGCGGCTGAAAAGAGCCGGGTAACGACAGCGTGGGACCTCTGAGACATGCTCCTCTGTATTTAAACAGTGCTTGCAGGAGGGGAAAGAGAGGGGGAGAACTTCAAAAGACAGAGGGGGAAAGGGAGAGGAGGGAGCCAGCGGGACTGAAAGTCTTCTCGCAGTGAGAGTGATGATGGCTGTATGCGAGCAAAACTCTTCATTCTCACTTTCACAGTGGTAAGAACTGAGTTAAGTGCCAACATTTCATCAGCAACTGGAGCTTAATGCAGGAGCTGAATGCATACTTCCTTTTTCCTGTCTGCAATAAGAAGCTTAAAATAACATCGTTAGATTATAAGCTAATAAGGAAATGCAATGCACCAGTGCCATATAAAGAGGAAAGAAGAGTAAGATGAAGCCTTTTCAGATTAGTCACTGATGCTAAACTTTCCTACCTGTTCTAACCTGATCTTTGGGCTGCAAAAATGCACGCCAGTAAGTTTAGCCCAACCTCAAAGATCTGGAACTATTCCCCTCAGACCTGTTTCCACACAGAAGGTAATGATGCACTGTGACCAAATGAATATTGCATACTTTTGGGGAAAGTCATAATCACGCTAATGATCAGGCAGGAAGCACAGCCAGCTGGCGTCTCTATATCCAAGTGAAAAGTCAGTTGGAGGGTAAGCACATGAAATGTGTGTGTGTGTTTGTGTATGTCATCAGACTGCAATATGCAAGTCAGACAGTTGTAAGCTCAATCACTTGGAGACATGGGGTGTGCACCTCCACACACCGTTTGCAAGGCCGTGAAATGCTTCAGAGGTTGCCTGGCTGAACAACAGTGACTTCACTCCCTTTTCAACATCCCCCAGCTGTAATACACTTCCCCATCCTCCATATTAGTGGGTCACTTAAGAGGTCGTCTCACTGCCCATGGATGTATAAAGAGAAATGGATACAGCAGTGTTGGCGGGGCCTCATTCATTGCTATGAAAGTTGCTCAGTGGAGTGTGAAGCCTAAAAAGTTAAACTGCCGCATATAAAATTACCTGAATGATTATCTGGCACTGCTCCCCATACTGTGTGGCCAGTAGAGCAGGCAGACTAGAGACGTCTGCTGGATGAGCCGGTGTGTTCCGGTTTAGCGCTCCGCTAACTTTTATGCAGTTGATAGTGCGGATGTTCTTGACTTTCCAAATGTTATCAGACTGAATGGATCAAATTCTGATAGTGAAACAAGTCATAGTGCAGGGCTACGATGCTTAAAAGCACTTATCCACTGATTTAGGGACATTTCTTTGACCCTGTAAGTCAACAGATAAAAGTCTTTTTGGGCCCAATGGCATCATGTATAATTCCACTGTTTGGCTAACTACAAAGCCTGGCACAATGCCTGGGGGCCTGGGATAGCCAAGATTGCACCGCAGCTAGTGAGCTGATGTGTTAGCTTGATTACAGCCAACTAACCACTATTTGCTGTGCAAACTATCTTTTTTCTAAGTTATTTTGTGGACCACACTGGCTGTGGGTTTGTCAACACTGTTTAATGAGGCTTTACAAAAGAGGCTCTCAGCAAAATTCAGAGCGTATGAGTTGTCTGGACACAGTTCTCAGCGTGGAGGTGGTTGAGCTGCCGGCTAGCAGCTTACACTGCTAACTCCATAAACGCTAAACAACAGTGCTGACAGAGCTAACGGTGTTAACCAGAAAGGAACCATGAGCTAGCATGTCCATTCTGGACCGCAAGTAACTCGCAAACATGTCAGGTTTGTAAAAAGCAATTTCTTTTTTTTCTTAATTTAAAGTACAGTTTCTGGCACAGAGCTTTTATTTTGAAGTGACATTACCTGCTGTAGAGTGGGTGACAAACAGACAGCTATTTGACAGAGACAGCAAACCACGCATGTCGTGAATAAATTAAACTGCGTGGACCTTGAACTAACGACTGAGGAGAACTCTGAGACTCCATGGTTGGACCAGCTGGGAACAACTGCCGTGGAGGTGTGTACGATCGTCTGACTGCTCATGTTTTTTAATCATTCTGACATCTTTCTCGAAATGCTGCTGCTTTTCCAGATCCAATGGTATACTAAAACCACAAAAATAAGATTGAAGTTGTAAAAAAGAGAGCGAGAGATTACTTTAAGTGGAGGTGTGTGATTTGGTGAATGCATTAGCAAAAAAGACGTGTATTTATACAAGGCGCGCCAGATTCATTTCAGAAGCAGGGGGGCCAAAAAGTGCTGTGTCTGGGGCTTGTCACCATGTGGGTGTGGCTACCTGTGTAATGTCCAGTTAATAATAGGGACTAGTTGAAGGTGCTTAGTGATCAGGGATTGAAGTACAGCCTGAGTTGAGTGTAAGCTTACGCAACAGCGGCAACAGTGTGTTTTAGTGAAAGCAGCAGTATCTTGCAGCAAGTTACAGCTCGTCCTCTCTCAATAAAAAGATGGTGAAGAAAGACAAAGAGTCAGATAATGTATTTAATCACGAACTTTATCTTGGGAGGAAAAAAGCAAACAGTTTATTTCTTAGCAGTGTTTGCATGAAACCTGAACACTTTGAACCCTTTATGTATAGGGCTGTACCCAAATATCTGGATATTCGAATATTCGTTTCTATGGGTAGGTATTCGTTATGAAAATTTGGTATTCGATATTTTTTTTTTTTTTTTAATACATATTTTTATATAGCTGTTTTTCGTTATCTTTTGAATTTAATATGGATTATGGAACTGTTTCTGTCAACGTTTGTTTCCCCCGTTTTGTACAATTAATTATTGTTTAAAGTTTCAACAAGTTTCTGGAGTGCGTGACACAAGTGTGTTTTGAAAACGACCGCAGACTGTCACCTGCTCAACGCATCAGTACCTTTGGATGCCATGACAGTAATAGCCTAAAGATTGTAATAATAATAATAATGTCAAACTATCATTTACAGACCGATTTAACAGACAATCACTGCTGCCCGACCCGCAGCAGGTCCCGCGGGTTACAGGTGGACCCGTGCATCACTACTTAGCTCAGTCTATAAGGCTGTACACAACAGTAAGGCTATAGACATTATATTCTATTCAGGCCGGCAGAACCAGCAGCGCATCGGCTCTACAGCGCACGGCACTGCTGATTAACCATTTCATTGCAGCACAGAGTGTCTGCCAGCAACCAATTACTTGCAGAGGCTTCCTACAACTTGTTTCAACGGTTCCGATTTAATTAGAAGACAAATTAAACAGGATGACTAGCCAATGTGAAAATCAAAAGAAAGCATAGAATAATGTACTGAAGGAGACTGTTGTGCCATCACATTTTTTTGTGGTTTGAGAGCAAAGATCCAGTCGCCGCTGTGCAAAACTCTGCAATTCTCAAACTTGATTGAAAATCAATTTCGGAGTGGGGCTGGTTCGGAACGGCGGTGTTTTGGAATGGAGGGCTGTCCCCTGTTGGAACATTGTGGGCACACAGACCTTCACCACCTGGATCCTAAAATAAACACCTGTTTTATTACATAATCATGCTTCCGTGTTGCGCCATTCATTAAGATCCTATTTCTGTCATTCAAACAACAAGAATTGTAGTTTAATACTCTTAATTATAACAGCCAACTTATTGAAAAATGACGGGTTTAAATCATAATTAAAATCCCGTCATAATTAAAATCCCGTCCCAGACATAACATGCACGGGCTCGGGCCGGGTCGAGCTGGATTTTTTGGGCCCGATCTAAGCTCTATTAGCCACTCTCGTTTCCCCTGAGGCGCCTCAAGTGCCTGCTCTCGCCCTGCAGCTACGCGGAGTCCCTCCTGATCAAAACGCCGCTCCACCTCTGTGCGCAGCAGGTCCAGGGCCTCTGTAGCCTATGTTGTCAGGCAGGCTGCATATCACATCAAAAGCATAGATCTATGTCTTCATGATATGAAACAGATAAATGTAAGTCAGACAAATAGCTGATAGCCCAAACAGATAATAAAAAGCAAAGGGGCGATGCTAGTCTATCATTTAAAGGAGCAATAAGCCAAATTCATCATTTCTAGATTGAAGGAATTAAAAAATTGAAGAACTAGAGGTGTAATTTCATCTGGAGTATAGCATGACCTCACACACCCTCTCTCTGTGTTGATCTCCAGCCCATTGTTTACAAGCCGGTCCGGCTGCGCGTTCACGTACATTCATGTAAATTCCCCCCCCCCCCCCTCAGAGCCCTTGGCCCTCCCTCCCTATAAAAGGCTACAGCCAGTGAGCAATGGCAGCGCGTATTTTCGAAGTGAAATGGCAGAGAGCGGAACGTCCACCTGAAGACGACCAGGATCTGACACTACCTCTAAAGAAACAACGGTTGTTGGCGAAGAAGTTGTCGAATAAAGAAAGGGACAGAACTCGAATTAACATTGGCCTTGCATTTCCAAGGTGGAGAGCACTGTGAGAGCTAAAGGGGCTACAGTTTGACTCGGAGCTAGCTCTTCTTCTCCTGGACAGGTACAACATAAAGTCAAATGTCTGTTTTAATTAGTGTTACAGTAACGTTAAGCACATGTCGCTATGTCGATTCAATTAAATTTAATGTTACAATCATAGCATGGGTTAATGTCCGGAGCTTGAGTTATTAGCGGCTTGGTCCCAGCAATGGGTCAGGCGTTACGGTTGTGTTAGGTGAGTAGCCCGGCAGCCCAGCTAACATTTGCAATTAGCATTGTAAAATGTAGCCCGGCGGGCAGCCTGGCGGCTGTGTTTAGCTATTCCCCTGCCTGCTTCAATGATGATGGTACCTGTAATAAATGCAATATATTTGCTGAAATGGAGGCGAGGCTCAGTGACTAGAAGAGCTGGTAGAAGCACTCCATAGCTGCAAGCTACTCCAGTAGCCGTAGTAGCTCTAGTGCTAACTCTGGGAGCTAACGCTAACATTCCTCTCTTCTCCGTGAGCCGGGAGCGGTCTCACAGAGAAGAGAGGAATGTTAGCCGGGGGCTCACAGTCTCATGGAGAAGAGAGGAATGTTAGCGTTAGCATGGCAGCCGATTAGTGCTAACGCTAACGTCCCCACGCTTAAGCAAGCTCCCAGAACGTTAGCATGGCAGCCGACTACTGCTAACATTAACGTCCCCACGCTAGAGCTCGCCGGGGCCGAGAAGCAGGCTCCCGGAACGTTAGCATGGCAGCCGACTAGTGCTAACACTAACATCCCCACGCTTCTCGGCTCCGACTCACTGAGCCTGGCGGAGAAGCGTGGGGACGTTAGCACTAATGGGCTGCCATGCTAACGTTCCAACTCTTCTCCGTGAGACCGTGAGACAGGCTCCCGGCTCAGTTGGAGTTGGAGCGTTAGCGTGGCAGCCGAGTAGTGCTAATGCTAACAGGAAAGCAGAGAAATAGCTAAACACAGCAGAGACCGAGAGTGAGTGAAAGACATTGCTAACTGCTAAACTAAGTTGGCTGTTTAGGTTTTATTTCCTCGCTCCTGTGGTGAGTGAATCTGCCTGCAGTGAAAGCAGGGGCTAACCAGTGCTTCCTCCTCAGGCTCCACTTCACTCAGCTGCCAACACAGCTAGTTAGGGGCTCTCCGTTTGGATCCAACCGGAGCAACGAGCCCTGGTTTGTTATTCAGGTTAATGTGGGAAGAAGCAGCGGGTCTGTCAGGCAGCTGAGTGAAGTGGAGCCTGTGGAAGAAACACCGGGACCGTCTGGATGTGATAGTCCGTGGAGATGCTGCGGTACTCGCCGGCACAGACAAGGCGAGTGGGGGGGTGGGGGGTGTTGGAGAGCAGAGATAGAGGGAGGAGTGGCTCATGACACACTTTGTTTTGCTCTACAGGTAGTGCACAACAGCAAACCTAGCGGTGAAACGATTTCGCTTATTGCCCCTTTAAGGGTGGTTAGATTGGTGATATGTTGCACAGATAATGCACGCTTGCATTTGATTAATACTGGGATGTGATGCTCTGCAGTGATGTTTCCTGACTCATGTGCACCAAGTGTTTCTATTACAGCCATAGATGTTTTTTCAAACCAACAACAGCAACAGCAAAATGTATGAGGGTGGATAATGGAAGCAGAGTTCTTTTTCTTTGATCCCTTTTCACTTGGAGCTGTTAATTTAGCATGGCTGCATTGCCATCAGGTTAGCCATACTGGACTCATTTCTGCACGAGAAGCTGAGGCCTGCAGAGGGGAGAGCTGAGAGAGAAGGAAAACAGGCAGAAGGAAAGAAGAAAGAGCCCATTCCAGGTCTGTGTCAATACAAAGGTTCTACCAATAAATTTTATCTTACACATGGAGGTGGTGTCATGCATCAAAACGTCAGACCATGAAAAGGCTTGATCACCCATCTACAGACTGACAGCATCAGCCACATTAAAAGCACATGTGTTTTTTTAAATGTCCGAGTAAGAGCTGTATTTAAGGCTTTTGGGGTGAGTCCAACTCAAGTCATAAGCTGTCATGAGCAAATAAATCAGGATGGAAGTATTTCAGGTCTGAATGCTGATTATTAAAAATCCAATGAACTATGCTAGATCAACATGAAGATTAAACATGGCAGCTGCAAATTAATGTTTCCATATTTGTATTTGGTAAACCATGCATTTGTATTGATGCGCACATTATGCACCACTCAAAATATTAAATTTCTCAACCCAGTGAACAAAGCCAGTACAGTGAACTGGCTCTGAGTGAGGAATCCTTTGTGAGTGTGTGCCTTTGACATGTTTATGTAGTGAGCCTTGAAGGAGCAGACCCTGTCATAAATCATGTCATGGCGGACAGACTGTGTGTGTGTGTGTGTGTGTGTGTGTGTGTGTGTGTGTGTTAGCCCTCTCAATCAGACAGTCAACAGTACAAAAACATCTTCAGACAGCCCGCTGCCAACATGCCCATGCCTATTTGACCCTCACCGTCCACACACACACACAAACACACACACACACACACACACACACACACACTCAGCAGTGATAAGGCAACAACAGCATCTAAAAACTCAGAGCTTTCTATACAAGCAGCAAGTTCTACAGTTGGCAAAACCGCCACTGAGAAACCTTATCTCTCTGTTGTGTTGGGGCTGGAGGGGGGAGGGTGCATCCGTTCTCTGAAATGTTTTCAGTGTTCTTTTATTGAGTCTGTCGAGCAAACACTAAAGGCATCCAAATGTTCTGCTGCCAAATCAACATGTTTTGAAAGAGAACCCGTGTCACTACAAATGGTGGTTTTATTTTTATTTTTTTCAACCTCTGTGCTGCGTCAGTTTCCAACAGACATCAGAAAGTGTGATATCCTTTGATTCACCAAAACTAAATCCTGGATAGTACCATGCAACCAGGTAACTCTTTTCCTATATGCTGATATGACAGAGCAAAGAGCCCTGGAGAGACAAGGAGAGGAGGCGTGTGTTTTACGTTGAAGAAGGACTGGTGTGACAGAGTGAATGTGGGGTGCTGTCCCATTCCTGCTAGCCCCAGTGACACAATATGACTGTTGAGGCAATTCTGAATATGATTTGGGCATGAGGATTGATTGGACCAAGTTGGACCAGGTCTGCTCCAGTCTGGGTTAGGTGGTGTTGACAGCTGGCAGACAAAATCTAATAATATGTGATATCTAAAGATTCTAAACCTGAGCCTTCAGATCCAGTCCCTGACAGTCGCTCTCATAAAGACTCTGATATTTGCATCTGACATCAGCAATTAATGCCTGCCTGAGGGAGGCATAAATAATCAAAAGCTATTTTTCCTATTTTTTTAAACCATAGATCATGATCAATAATACAATAGTAACAAAACATCCACAATATATTTTAGTAGCTTTAGGGTCCCTGGAGTCAGCCAGGGTTGCAAAATCTGGACACCAGCTGCTGTATGCTAATTTCAAGCAAATCTAGTTGACACTGATCTGTTAAAATATGCCCGGCAAGGCCCCAGTACTGACCCTTGGGATTGGCTCAAGACATCTCTAATCTCTAATAATGATTAAAAATGTTATATTACATTCATCAAGGTTAAGTCACAATTCACTGTGCTTTAGATTTAAATTAATTTTATCTAGCCTCATACTGTGTGAGTCAAAGCTGTACCGTTTTGTTACATTGCGTTTTTACCGTAGTTATCCTTTGCATCCCAGTCTTTGTTCCAGTGACCACCCCAGTCTCCCCCGACTCCACTCAGAACGGGCTCCTCTGGGTCGTAGTTGTAGTCCTCAGATTGTTCCTCCAAACTGGCTCTTTCCAACCCATTCTCCACCTGCTCTGGGTACTCCCAAAACAATGGCCAGAACAGCTTCTTGTGGCTGTTGGCCCATTCTGAAGATGACACCGACCAGTCATTACGCTGACCCTCCTTGACCAGGTCCATCTCCACCTCCGTCTCAGTCTGTGTGTCATCTACCACCTCGATGGTCACCTGAAAGAAACACAAAATATGTGTGCAGCATACAGTGACTGACAATCATGCAAAAGGAATTCTTTAAAGTGTCAGAGTGATCTCACTTTGACTCGATGAAAGTTGTAAAAGTTTAGCACAATGTTATATGGACCTATAAAACCACTACCCTCAGCAACTTGCTTCAATGGCCCAACATATAGTGACCTCAGCAGCCAACAGTAACAACATCAAGCTTAATGCTTCTGTAATTTAAGAATCGGATAACTGCCATAAATGGCCCTACAAAATGCGTTCACACATAACTGTCAAATAACACTGGTGACAGAGCAGCCTCGCTCTGCACAGAAGTCACAGTAAATTCCAACAGGACATAATGACAAATGCAGCACAACCTTAAAGCAGTGGGAATTTAATGATTCCATCAGCCGCCTCATTCATCTTCAAAAAAATAAAAGGAGACAGCTTCTAGGATTTTATTACGCTGTTCAAAAAAAAAAGGGAAACACCTAAATCACACATCAGATGTTGATGAACGAATTATTCAAGTTGAAAATCTTAACTGATGTACATTATGTAATTTGTTGAGAACAAAATGGTTGTGTCATCCTGGAGGATCTGGACTTCCTGTGCAGCCTGATTGGGCTGCAGGTACCGCCTCACGCTACCAGTAGTGACAAGGACACTAGCAGAATACAAGACTAGAGAAGAATCAGTCAGGAATGATAAGGAGAGAGCAACGGTCTGTGTCTGCCACATGTAAAACCATTCATTTGTGGGGGTTGTCTTGCTTTTGCTTCTCCATTCCACCTGTTGTCACTTCCATTTGCACCAAAGCAGGTGAAACTGATTCACAATTACTTGTGCTTCCTACATGGGCAGATTAATATCCCTCAAGTTTAACTGACTTGTGTTATACTGTGACCATTAAATGTTTCCTTTCTTGAGCAGTGTATGTTTGACCTGTATTAAGCCCTGGTCAAACCAGTATGTGACACAACAAAGTTTATCCATGCAACATTGCAAACGTATGGTATAACATAGGTAACATAGCGACTTCTTGCAGAGCTAGCTTAGGTCAGTGAACTACTGTAGCTGACAAGCTAAACACTAATATGCTAACAAGCCGTTCAGTCAGTTAGCGATCTAGCTAATTTGAAGTATTTGTACCATGGACTCATGTCTCAAAGTTTTCTTCAGACTACACCTGTTATGTGGAGCAGGGCTTTAGAAAAGTGGATGATAGCTTATAAACTATGTTGTCTTCTTCTGCTTTGACTCTCTTTAAAGTACGACAACACAGTATACCGTATTCTGTGTCTCATCAGGTTTTGGAGGCTGTAATGTTTAGTTATGCAAACCGATAGCTTGATCATTGATTCCTCCTGTAAGAATTATTGTTCTGATAAAGGGGATTCAGTTCAGTTCTTCAGTTCAGGAGCTGGCAAAACAGGTTGTATGTCAATTTTTCTTTTGATACCAAGTAATAAGTACAACTCCTAATTCAAAAAAAGAAGATAAAAGATAAGAAATTTGATGTTCAAACTGATTAAGCTTATTGTTTTTTTTTTGCAAATCTCCACTCATTCCGAATTTGATGGCTCCAACATGTTTTCAAAAAAGGTGGGAAGGGGGCACGTTTACCACTGTGTTACATAACCTTTTTGTTTGAACAACACTCAGTAGCGTTTGGAGACTGAGGACACTCGTTGAAGTCTGAAAGTGAAACCTTTTTCCATTCTTGCTTGATATACAACCTCAGTTTTGTGCTTCACAGTGGGCCACACATTTCCAATAGGAGACAGGTCTGGGCTGCAAGCAGGTCAGTCTAGTACCTGTGCTCTCTTTTCCTACAAAGTCACACTGTTGTAACGAGTGCAGAATGTGTCTCATTGTTTTGCTAGAATAAGCAGGGACATCCTTGAAATAGATGTCATCTGGATGGCAGCATATGTTGCTCCAAAACCTGTATGTACCTTTCAGCATTCATGGTGCCTCCAGAGATGGGCAACTTACCCATGATGCGATGGGCACTACACACCTCCATAATACCACAGATGCTGGCTTTGAACTTTGAGCTGATAACAGTCTGGATGGTCCTTTTCCTCTTTAGCCTGGAGGACACTCGATGATTTCCAAAAACAAAATGAAAAGTGGACTCGTCAGACCACAGCACACTTTGCCACATTGTATCAGTCCATCTCAGATGAGCTCAAGCCCAGAGGTGTCGTCTGTGTTTCTGGATGGTGTTGATATTTGGCTTTCACATGACATGGTAGAGTCTTATCTTGTATTTGTAGATACAGTTACGAACTGTGTTCACTGACAATGGTTTCTTAAGTGTTCCTTAACCCAGGTGGTAATATCCGTAATTCAGTCAAATTCATTTAAATGTTGTGCAGCCTGAGGGGTCAAAGGTCATAGCCATTCAGCATTTTTTTCTAGCCTTCCCCCTTACATTTACCTTACCCAATTTTAATGATACTAAATATTGTAGATGGTAAAATCTCTAAATTCTTTGCATTTGTACGTTGAGAAACGTCATTCTCAAACTGCTGGACTGTTTGCCCACACATTTTCACAAAGTGACCACCCTTGCTTGTGAATAACTGAGTTGAGTTTATCCTGTCATACCTATTAATGACACTAACATCTGTAACCAATTAACCTGTGGAATGTTCCAAACAGGTGTTTTTTGAGCATTCCACATCTTTCCCAGTCTTTCGTTGCAGCTGTCCCAACTTTTCTTTTCTTCATATTGCAGAATCAAATACAGAATTAGTGTATATTTACAAAAAAAACAATAAAGTTTATCAGTATGAACATTAAATATCTTATTTTTATACTGTATTCAACTAAATATAGGTAAAAAAAAAAAAAAAAAAGATTTGCAAATCATTGCATTCTGTTTTTGTTCAAATTTAACAAAGCGTCCCAACCTTTTTGGAACTGGGTTTGTATATGACTTTAAAGAAGTAATATCTAAAAAGTAACTTATTACCCCTCCAGTGTAACCTGCCCATCACTGGTACAGCATGTTTACAGGTTGGTACAAGCTCTCAGACAGGATGAGGGGAGTGATGTCACCGCTTCAGGAGAAGTCTGTTTATTTGAAGATGAGATTAAAAGTGTAGTCGCCTTTTATGAAAGAGGGTTATTGTGCGGAGGGGGAAGGGACTGAGACACATGAAGAATATAGCGGGATGGAAAGATGAACTGATAGCGAGTTCTGATTATCTCTGTTACTCTCTCACACGTGGACGTGTACATAAACACACATACACACACAGGTCTCAACAAAACCCAGGTAGCTGATGTTTCCAACAGCAACAGTTTATAAAGACAAAGCAGCAGCTGAAGAACATGATGCTGACTATCAGAGAACGGAGAGGATAAAGGTAAACATGTCTCTTATTCTGTATTCATCAAGGTAACAGTATATGAATAAAGTGAGTCTGGACTGTGTGTCCTTGTGTGCCATACAAAAATACATACAATTTGGAGCTAATACTACTCTCCATGGCTATGTACAGCAGTAGCAATGTAAGCATCATACAGGTCATGGTATCAACAACAATCCCCAACAGTGGGCCCTTTCCAGGCATATTTAAATGAATTGTTACTGGCTGGATAAAGCCCAATCCATTTACAACTTGTTGCTCGTTTGGTTAGAATATGCCAGCTGCACCACACTGGACCGATCTGAACCATGTGTCTGGATTTTACAAATGTACTTTTTTTAGTTACACTTTCAGTTTTAGTTGGCCTTGATTTGGCTGTTTTGGGCAGCATAGGGTTATATACTGTAACAGTCTTTCCTCTTGTGCCTCCTCCCTACTGCGATGTTGCCTGGTTTCTCCAGCATAATTCTAGCTGTGTTAACAAGTGTTTTTTATTGATTCCTTAACCACATTAAGGAAACCAGTGGCCTCATTTATCGAAGCATGTGTCAAACCACTTCTAAATGTGTGTGTAGGAACTTTCTTCACGAACAGGAAAATTGGTATTTATCAAACACACACACACAAAACATTATGGAATGAACATTATAAGTATCACCTGTTCTATCCATGTGCTCGTACACAGTTAGGGGTTAGGCTCCAGGAATGATAAGTTTATAATCTACATGGTTATCAGAGGTTGGGGTTTGTTTACCTGTACTTTAAGGTTATTGATGGTTTTATCATATTGATAGTGACTGTTTTGGTGTGCCAAGAGGAGTTTGTTGGTACACCTGGTCAAAAGTGGCTCTAAATGTATGCACATTTCAAGCACGATTTTATGCTTAGAAATTGGCATTATGCATAGTTTAAGCCAGGGGAAGGCAACCTGTGGCTCTGGAGCCATGTGTAGCTCTTTAGTCCCTCTCCAGTGGCTATGGAAATCAATAGAAAAAAATGTTTTTAATATTTTTAATATATAAATTTTAATTTTTATTTATCATTATTGTAGGCCTAAAAATTGTAAAAATGTGAAGCTATACACAGATTTAAAAAAAAAAAACAAAAAACAAAATGGTTCTGAACATTTTGCCAACTATGTCTACTGCTAGGCACCTTTACCTCTCAATGTTGCTGAGGTCCTGTCTAAATGAGTGGTGGCTAGTCTTGAATCTCCCTAGTGAGGCTAGCTATGGACTCCAAATCCAAAAACAGTGTTGGAGGAAAAAAGAGACATACATAATGGGTGGACAGATTATTTGCTTTAACCACCAACTCTTACCAAATGTTAATAAATAGCCCACTGCTGAATAGCCACCTTGTGCTAAAACATATTAATGAATGCTCATTCAGTAATGTTAATAGGCTATTTTTGACGCAATAGTCTGTTATCATGATTTAACTCAATATGTTTTGCGGATCCAGACAAAAAATTTTTTTTTAATTTTAGTCAAAAATGGCTCTGTTGATAGTAAAGGTTTAAGCACAAAAATCAAAGTCAACAAGTCAAAATAAGTTGCAGTTTGACTTCGTGAATAATATTTTGAAAATTAGACCAACCCTTTCTGTAATGAAAGAATGAGCAGCAGGTACTCAAAGTGATAGGTTTCATTTTATTTGTTGTGTCAGCAAAACCTACCGACAGCTTAACTTGCTTGTCCTTTATTACAGGTTCTTAAAAATTACTTTAATGTTATAGCCACTACTCAAAGAAGGAGCAAGCTCAAATCTATTAGAAAAGTGAAATCTCCAAAGATGATTGCATGGATGATGTCATAATGTATGGCAGAATCAGCTCGGTTTGTCCACATTAAAAAATATTGGGGTTAACAGTGTACATCACTACTTGTGGAGCTGTGCAGTGTTTCTGTATTATGTACTAGCAGCAACCTCTGGAGCTGAAAAATAAAGCCAATGAAGTAGTCACAAAAACTGCAGTTCTCTGAATGGCCACTTGAGGCTGGCTCCAAGAGTGACTCAATCCCCATTGACCCCCATCTTAAATTGCCCAACTTCACAGCAGCAATAAACATATTTACAGCCTGGGTTTGGTCTCTATAGCTAATTGCACTGGGGGGGAAGCATAATTAAGGGCCTGGGCCACCTTGAGGGACAGGTGGGTACTGTTCATTTATGGATCGCTATCACAGCGACAATGTTGGTTGGTGTAACCCCAGATACAGAGTAAAGGTGTTTCAGTTTAGTTTATCAGTTTATGAAAGTTGATTATAACTCTTTGTTTGTTTAAAAAGTCTTGTTCAGACCCCCTAAGGAGTTGGATATTCAGTTTTTTTTTCAGTAATTACTTTGGATTGAATGGTTTTAAGCCATTTTTGATAGTGACAATTCGCATTAGCATTCACACCATAGCTGTAAATGCACTGTGCTAACCAAGCCAGCACCTATCGTTAGGGTTAGCTCCACCCTCTTGTTCAAATATGTTCACCTGTGGCTCCAAAAATCCAAAATGGAGACAGCCAAAATGCCGAACTAGAAGCTTCAAAAAGGCAGTCCACAAACCACAGGGTGATGTCATGTTAGCTAGGGGCATTATCTCATACAATCTATGGTTAATCCCAGGTCATGACAATTCAAATACAACTTTTTTCTTTTTTCATTGTGCCTGGAATCTTTAAAGATTAAATTTAAAGCATCATCAGACTTAGAATTATTCACCAAACTCACTCACACTAATAACTTTTTCTGTATTTCTTGTTCTTGATTGTATATAACCTTATTTTTAGTTTAAAGGTACACTCAGTACTTTACCATATTATTATTTTGTATAGCTGTGTTGTTAATTTATTATAGGCTATTTCTTTTAGTTTTGTGCACTTGTGTAAACAGTGCATACAACATCATACAATGTTGTATTAAATTATAATCTGAAAGAAACATGGAATAATAAGGTACAGCATTGACTGTCTTTTAGTAATTTACTTGTACATGTATTGTACTTGACATGGCGCAAAATAGGCTTTGTTCTGTCTCTACTAAATTCAGGATGTCATGCATTTCTCACTCTGTTGACCAGGCAGTGAATTCCAGAGTAACATCATCATTTCTCTTTAAATCAACTCCACAAGTCTTAACACTTTTTTTTATAAAGCCAACTCCTCCAGGGTTTGGCTTTACAGTTGCATTTAAAAATGACCTTTTGACCATTTATATTCTGCTCTCATATGTTTTATATTTTCACTTTTTCCCCCCTTTTACTTCTTTTCTTTTATTTCTCCAAACCCTGTGTAGATGTCTGAGGTTCATGGACAAGCTAGAGCGCCCCACTGTTAAAGGTCCTGCATATGGTAACTTAAGACGCTGTCCTGACTCAAACCAGCTGTACACAGAGATGGGATGTATGGAGCCAGAGGGAGATACATGGTGCTGAGAGCAAAAACTGAGAAGAAAGTGAAGGAAGATCACTTAATCTGGAACACCTGCACTTCAGTGATGATATGAACCCTTAATGCTATGAGAAAAGTGACCTAATACTACTTCTGATGATACAATTAGTACAAAATATTTTGACTTCTTGCCACTTGGATATCCCCTACCTGGATGTTGGGATTCTGTGAGCCCATGTCTGCATTAGCCAGCTCTGGGAAGTTCCTCAGGTCCAGGATGAAAAGCTCAGGGTCTTCCTCAGGTTCAGGTGGGGGGAGGACACCCTGGTGATGGTGCTGGGACCAGCGTTGTCTGGACTTGGGGAGAGATGGACCAGATGGCAGAGTCTGCAGAAGGTTCTCCTGCTGAAGCTCCTGGAGAGTCTGACGATTGTTGCCAGGACTCGTCTCTGCTATCACCTGAGAGGGGGGGAAAGACAGTGATTATGCTGTCTAGCATAGAAACAACTGAGTAAAATATCAGGTGAAAGGACTTAAGTGTTCTTAAGTTTTTGACCACATGCGTCTTCATGAGCATTTCCTTGTATTGTTTAGTCCACCAGCAATCTGGGGACACGGGGGACATAACCCCACCACTTTCATAATCTAGCAACATCATGGTAGCTCTCCTGTTTCCAATATTCTAACGATGGGTCCACAGGATTAGTCTGCTACCCCAGTACTATATCCACTTCATCAGTCACCAATTAACTCCGATCAGCTGATGCGACTCCAGCGTACGCTCGGATAATAATCAAGCGGACCCAGTCTCGCACTGTGAGTTGCAGACACTTAATGACTAGAGTGGTAAAGTTAAGTGCAGTGTTGGGCAGTAATGCATTACCAGTAATGAGTTACAGTAATACTATTACTTTTTCCTGCAATGAGTTGTGTAACTAATTACTAATACAGTTTCAGCAATAATAGTACTGTTATCCCAAAACCCTGAGCTTTTGTCACCACCCCACTACTGACTTAAATTACATTGAAAAAATCACACCAGCTGATTCATTTTGGTATTCATTGTGCTGCACATGCACGTTACAAAAGCGGCAAGATACTTCAGAAGATGGATATGCTTACATTGCACAGCTGGAAATATCCCCATTACTTTGATTTTGTCAGGAGAAAATATAATGTAAGCATAGTTATTCCGAGTAATGTTATGCACCAGGTCATTATTTTTGTACATGTGTTTGTATTGATTTGCAGTGATCTATCAGATGTTTGTCTCCTCCCCTCAGAGTATGCGCATGTGGTTGTTGCAAGGCAGGTGGTGTTTGCAGATTGGACCATTCGCAGAGATTGCTGTCACCGGATTAGTCCAGTGCATGACAGAGGATTTTCAAACGCCAGTTGATAGAGGCTCTTCCCTCCATTTCACTCTACCACCTCCAACAAAGCCAGCACTTTTGTGAATGTAGATTTTGGATCACAACTAGTAGAATACAGTAGAAAAGTAATATGACGAGAAGTGAAACAGATTACAGTTGGCAGGGAGTAATAGGAAAAGTCATGATATTACTTTGAAAAGGAGTAATGAGTAATAAATTACATTTTTGAGTAGAGTCCAACACTGGTTATGTGCTTAAAGGAAGAGTACACAAATGCATAACAGAGACAATCCTTATACAAATCCTGTAGATTGTTTGCTTGTTTTTATTATATCCAAGACTTGACTAATCGACTTGTCAGTGCTCTCTGTTAGATAAATTATGTAATGGTGACACTGTTTCCAAATTATCTCAAGCCTAGGTTGGATTATCTGTATTTCAGCTTGTCAGCCCCCTTGTAGACAACTGGCATGAACACAAACACATATCTTCACACACACACATACACACACACACACACACACACACACGATTTGGGGAAAAAAACTGTAATGTATGAACACAATATCGCATTATACGATACATTTTAATAAAGCACAGAATATAGCATTTGCCAGCCACCAGTTAAACAGTCAAAATATCAGTAAAAATAAGTCATATAATACACACTAGGCTGTGCCTATAAATAATCACATTTAGTCTGATTTTTAAAGCTTATTGTGTTTGACACCAGAATTTCCATTTGCCTCTGAACACCTCACAGAGACATCAAAGCATATCGCCACAGCTCCGCCATTTTGACCTGCTGCCTCTCCCGGTAAGTAGCTCTAAACGTCCCTGTTAATAGCTAATAGTTTGAATGGTAGAAATACAGATTTGATGTTTTAAAGTTGCATTTACATCATTTTGTAACCAAACATGAATGGAAGGGAGAAAATATTTCTCCTGTGAGCAGCCTGGGAAAACCTATACTGTTAACCAGCTAAGCTCATTTTAGCCACATAAACTGACACAAAACATCAAGTTAGCTGTTTATATCCAATGACAATCAAGCTCTGTCTTTTTCCACTGACTAAATGTACTATCCTGATACTAATATGAAGCTGAGAAATATAAAACAAATGAAGCAGTAGTAATGTTGTTTGGTGCAGTGCACTGTTAGACAGACACCAGCTAATCCCTCATTTTAGTGACAAGCTAACTTACAAAATGATTTATGCTTGTCTCTGGCTTAGTTTCTGTCAGCAGTTTTAGCTGTTAGCAGCCTTCAGTGAGGTAAGACAAGCCTAAGGGCTCTAGTTTCCTGGCGCAGCGCAGGGTGGCGAACCCCGTGCAGAGCTAGTTTCGAGCAGCGCAACCCGAGGCGCACTCAATTTGGTAGTTTGGCAGACCAAGGTGCGCTGAGATGGGTGTGGCGGCCCAGCAGGGGGAGGTGTCGACAGATCCAGCTTGGCGCAGTGACAGTTTCGTGCCAAAAGGCTTCGCCGAAGGTGCACTAAAAGCTTGCCAGCTGAAACCAGGTCTACTGTCAGCGCAGGCGGAGTGCAGCCGGTGTAAGTCGAAGTTTGGCTGACCGGCGGACAGTGCGCACACGTCACCAAAACCTCACAGGCAGGTTTCCAGAATATCAGGCACATTAACAATGCAATAAATAGCCACAAAAACACTATTCAGTGCAACTATCTGCAATCAGCACATAAATGTATCTCTATATTGACTGTCCCGTCACATCTGATGTCAGATCAAAGGGGATTGGCACCGTTTGGCACGTTTGGCATGCGTAATGGAAACCCAACCTGATTTGATTAACACAGCTGCAAACTAATGAGTTCACATCCCTCTCAGCCAACCACAAACAGCCACAGCATCAGATAGGGAGTATATATTCAGCATCTGTCATCTTAGAAAAGTCAAAAGAAAAGAAACAGAGTGAGACTGTGAGAGAGAAAGAGAGAGCGCACACGCACGAGAGAAACGCAACATTGATTTACAATTGTGGTGACCTCCTCCCAGGCTACCTTTGCATCATCAGCCCGTGGAGGTCTGCTCGCAGTTCCGTATATTGGGACACTGCGAGCTTGGACCTCCCGGACCAAAACATCAGCGGAGCCGATAGGATTCAATTCTAGTCAATGTGTGTGTTTCCACCAGCTGAGGCTGTGCTGAGTTCTGGCTCAGTCTCAGATCCAGCACTCCGGAGCCCTCCGCAACAGATACGCAGGACTTCTATTTTTGCCGGACGCCGGAGCACAACGCAGCAATTCAGCACAGAGCAGATCGTGCGGGGCAGGAAGTCGTGCACAGATACACAATAAAACATCCGGTTAATTTTCAAAATAAAATACACAGTGTTCACAGCAGATCATATTTCCCTGCACTACACCTTGAAAACTACATAATGGGCAGAGGCAGGCCTGAAGTCAACAGGTCAGAGGGTTTCAGATGTATTTCACCCCGTTAACACCATGGACAAGGAGATATTAATCATGGCAGTGCACCGAGATGTCTTCCGGCGGAGCTGCACCGCTCCGCACAGCAAACGCAGCCGGTGGGTATTGACGGACGGCAGAGCACGCAGCAGATAACCAGCGCTGCTGTTCCGCAACGGACACGCATCTAGTTATCTAGCATTATTACGCCTTTGCGCGGCGCATTCAAGGGCGAGGAGAGGGGCTCATTTGATTGGTGTGATGTGTGTAAAACCCACTCCACGCCTTCTCTCCTCCCACTTTCCGACTTGCGCAGGTAGGAGGGATGGAGGTGGGAAAGAGGAGTAGCTGCGCCAGGCGCACGGTGTGCCAAACTCGCAAAATCCGTCTGGCCACACCCAGTTGGCAAAGCGCAGGTGCGCTGCGCCCCCGCCTTGCCCGGTCTGCGAAACTAGAGCCTTAAGTGTTTAATATGACCAGCAGTCCTCTCAATCGATCTGTGGCAACTTATCTTTATACTGGATAGGTTGTAATTGACATTCTGGCTAGTTTGTTGTTGAATGTCCACATGTCTATGTAAACTAGAGGTTTTACACACACATACATACACACACACACACACACACACACTTGACCTCCATGCCAAATTTCAGCCTCCCAGGGCAAAAACTGTGGCTGCCAAAGGGTGGAGAAATTTTTTGTGGACCAACCAATTAACCAACCAACCAACCAACCAATGGAGAGAGCTACAGAGCTGCTGGTCACAGCTAAAAATGACTATGTCCGATAAATTATCCAATTTTTCTACTCCCAAATATTTCAGTTTCAGCATTGGCCTCTGTCAGGCTATAATGTAAACAAAACTGTTATTTTTAGAGTGAAGTATCACAGTTAAAATTAATATAAATATAATATAAAATTAGAGCCCTTCTGTGCGGAGTTTGCATGTTCTCCCCGTGTCAGTGTGGGTTCTCTCCGGGCACTCCGGCTTCCTCCCACAGTCCAAAGACATGCAGATTGGGGACTAGGTTAATTGATAACTCTAAATTGTCCGTAGGTGTGAATGTGAGCGTGAATGGTTGTTTGTCTCTATGTGTCAGCCCTGCGATAGTCTGGCGACCTGTCCAGGGTGTACCCTGCCTCTCGCCCGATGCCAGCTGGGATAGGCTCCAGCCCCCCCACGACCCTCAAGAGGATGAAGCAGTTAGAAGATGAATGAATGAATTAATTAATTAATATAGAGTAATAATTAAGGCCACTAGGTGCTGACACTACAGAAATCCCTGCTAGTCCCTGCTTCCCTTTGTCAATATTTAAAATCAATAATTATTTACACAGGTGTTTTTGTTTGCTGCTTGCTTGTCCCACTTCAGCTCCTCAGGCAGTCACATAAGCATGATAACATTTAGAGTAAAATTAATTAATTTCAACGTGCAAATCAGAGGACTTGGACTTCAAATTTGCTAAAACAAACCATTTGACAGCTGATACATCTACACACCTTTGAGGGAAGGCTCCAGAATAGAGGAATCTATTATGTAATGTGCCTTGCCATGCAATTTAATACTATGACTACGCTCTGCTGGGCCATAAATCGTTATTTAAAAGACATGCCCCATGAACTGCATTTGTACAGTGCTTTTTCCCAAAGTACTCT